GTAGGACACCTTCGACATCGTAGGAAAGCAAGGGCATTATCTTTTAGCAATGCAGATGTCCGGAGCAGCTTTTTCTGGGAAGCGAACAGACGTACCACCATCTCTCCCCCACTCTGGAGCATGAGGAGACCGCTCCTTCCTTTTATAAACCACCCGCCTCAACACGTAAAGCTTGCCGGGCTTCTTGCAAGCTCAGTCGCGTCTGCGTGCCTGCTCGCGAGATCTCGAAGCTTGGTTTTCTTCCTCCACAGCAGAAGAGTCGGGGAACTTTCCTAGCCATCCAGCTATCCATCCGCCCACGGAGGAGCAGTGGCTTCGTAGCCCCACCCATCCCCGCTTTGAGCCGAGCATCAGTTTTATAACCTGACATCTGCCTCAAAGCACTTCTCCGTCGAGAGGAGGCAGAGGTAGCAACCCGCCGGGCAGATGCCTTCTTCTTCCAACTCTCCCTCCTCCCTGAAATGATGAGAGTAGGAAGCTGCTGGCTGGGTCGCCCTGCAGAAGAAAGCAGGGCTGCGCTGGACCGCAGCCTCGCTCTTTCTCTGAAAGGCGCTTTAGCCAGCTGAGGCTCCCGGCGGCAACACAGCAGACAACCTCTACCCCGAGGCACGCCAGAGCCGGGCCAGCATCCATGAGCTCCAGAAGCAGCACCCGAACGCGGCTCTGCCCTCACCGAGCCAGATCCTTCCCTGCTCGGGCTTTCCTCCGCCTCCTGCTCCCCTCGCCTGGAGACGGATAGAGCAGTGGTTCTCAACCTTTTTAATGCCGCGACCCCAACCGGTCGTAAGTCGAGGACTAAACCGGTCGTAAGTCGAGGACTAAACCGGTCGTAAGTCGAGGACTTTCCCTGCCCGGGAGCGCCGCGCATGCGTGGTTACGCCCCCTGCGCCGGCCGAGGCGTAGCTGGCAAGCGGCAGAGATGGAGCAGGCCGACCACCAGCTGGCCCAGCCCAAGGGAGGTAAGGCACCTGCCGAAAAAAATGGCAGACAAAAAAAATGGCGGACAAAAAAAATGGCGGACAGCCATGCTTGGTGACCCCCATGAAATGGTCGATCGACCCCAAATGGGGTCCCGACCCACAGGTTGAGAACCACTGGGATAGAGGAACGGTGTCTCGGTTCCTAAGACCATCGGAAATATGTGTTTTCCGATGGTCTTAGGCGACCCGAGGGCAACCGCAATGCTGATGCGGCCCTCAATGAAATTGAGTTCGACACCCATGGTCTCTAAGGTCTACGACTGCTGTTTAATACAACCAAACCACAGGATAGAAGTTTGTATTCCGAACTTTCTGTTTACTTTTTCTTTTCAGGACATTGTGTGTTACGGAGGACTTTCCTCTCTGAACTGTGGGGCCTTGAACAATCCAGAAAGTATCTGAAGGACTACCGACCACTTCCTGTTTCAGTGGGCTCCGGTCCCTCAACAACGCCATGTATTGCATACAGGCAATGGTGGAAATTCTAGCTAATGAGACTGGGGAGCTCTTCATTGCTGCAGCAAAAGAACAAGAAGCTATACGACAAATGACAATTCCGAATACTATGGCTTTAGATATGGTAGTGGCATTCAAAGGAGGTGTGTATGCATTAATTGGACAATAATACTGTGTGTATATTCCGGACAAATCAGAGGACATCCAAAACCGAGCTGCACACATAGCAAAGATAGTTGCAACCCCCCCCCCCCATGAAAGAATGGGAAGGCTGGTGGCATTGGCTGACAGGATGGTTACCTGATTTCAGCTGGTTAAGAACCCTAATAATGATCCTGATGGGTATAGTCATTGTTCTCTTAATCACCTCTTGTGGATTACTGTCAGATCCCCAAAGAAATGTATTTTAAGCTGCCCACCCAGTGGT